GAGCTGGCCTTGGATGACTCACCAAGCCTGTCCCATGAATTTGCATTGTGGACACTGGAACAGCTGGCCAAAAACAAGCCTTTCAGAGTGGCTTTCTGCTTGCAGCTCTGCACATTCAATCCATCTCTTTCTTTGTAAAGCTCAATTTTAAAATGCAATAATTGAACATATAGCCACAAGCAGTCTTTCAGGAAAACTACCAAAGCACAGGCGAGAATAGTTTTACCTACAGAAGATGCTGTTTCATCAGAAGAGCTGAGAAGGAGAGCAATTCTCCCAAAAGATGTAATTTGTGATGTAGGACGTGAGTGACAGCACAGTTGCTTGAAAGGACTGACCATTAATAGGTCAGCTTAATTTAAATTTATGCTGGAATAATTTCATTCAGTATTCGGAGAATTATCCCAGTATATATATATTTATATATATGGTTGAAAGTCATCAGAATACTTAAGGAGAAAGGTTATACTCCACTAACCTAACATTTATGAAGTATTAAAAAGAGGGAGAAGCTTCTAAAGTTCAAAAGTGAATAAGCAAAAACAACAAGAATTCAGAGCCCACAGGAGGGCAAGACACCTCTCTTCATAGCTGTATTCTGGCCATTCAGCAAATAAGATTGGCAAGCACGGACATACAGGGTGCAGTAAGATACAACAGCTAACGACCCCAGGCACTCTTGAGACAGGCATTGCCCCATTTATTTCTTAATGTTCTGCAACTTCAGTCCTGTCAGTGTCTTTGGCACTTAAAATAGTACCCAGAGGGAAGTTTAATGTAAGTCCATGTTAAGGTGAAATGTCTGATCCTGTTATTCCCCCATTTTCATTAAACCCAGAACCCCAACATATTAGACACCTCTGTGCCTTAGTGTCAAGAACCTCCACTGAAGCTTTGCAATTCTGCTATTCCTTTGTGAGGAAATGCTTAAACAGTCCCCTCTAAGCCTATTTATGAAAACTTCCAAATGCTGAAATGAAGTTCTTCAATGTTCCTATGCAAACCTCTGTGCTTACAGTGCTCAAGAGGTAACTCTTAATGAGCAGAATTCATGCAAGGAATCTATTTAAACCTTTCAAAGTTGAATTTGGGGAAAGTGCTAAATATTTAAAGCCTCTGTGCAAGAGGCTTTTAATACAAACAGGTATTGAAAGAAATCTTTTGCGACTTTGCATAATACATTGGTATGTTATGTCTTTTTAGATTACATGATTTTATAAAAATAATTTTAATTGATGCCAAAAATAATAGGAAAAAAAAACAGGAAGCAAAACAAGAACTTTTGCTAAGAAAGAGAATCAGCAGCAAGGAACAGAAGCAGATGATTCATGCTGTAAACATCCTTCATGTTGATAATTAAACAGTCATGTGAGGTAGCAGGGTAGCATCATCCCTATATAATACATTGACCAGTATCATCATCCCTAGGTAATAGGTTTAAATGGAGATACTGGGACTTGCCCAAGGTAACAGTGACTCGGTTGTGGGTTGGGACTAGCCACAGGATGCTCCTCGTTCCCCTCAGCTCACACCATTAGAACAGAGCTGATCTACAGCCTCACTCTGAGCTTTATAACACTGACATTTAATTAAAGTGACAGAACTTAAGGGCGGGGGGGGAATGGAAGGAGGGATGCCAATGAAATCCCATCAAGAACATCATGGTATTCATCATAAAGCTGTCAGGTCCACATGCTTGATACAGAAACAGGCTTACCCTGCTTGTAACTACACCTCTTATGTGGGCCCTGTGTCTCCCTTATGTCTCTCAAGTGGCAGACAACAGCATCCAGAACTCCAATTTCCAAAACTCAGGAATGCAGTGCGTCCTTCCACGTACCGCAATGCTGATATCTTTTTGGACAAAGATACCTCGGGCTGTGACTGCTCTCACCTACAGCAGCCACTGTGATTTTGCTTGAGGTGAGAGGGGAGGAAAAGCAGGGAGCAGAAGGCAGGGAGCAACACGTGGCGGCACCATCTTTCACAGGGTGTCATGGCACTCGCTGCTTCCTTCCCTCCTCATCCAGCTGCCTACATCCCAGAGCCCACAGACCTCAGATAGACAGCAGCTGAAGGGGACAAGCCACACTCTCTGCAGACACCTGAGGAGAACAACAGCCCCAAGAGGGGATGGGGCACAGGAATAACAAGGCAGTGACAGCATCGCCCATGCAGTGACAGCATCGACGACGCACGCGGCACAGTGACAGGCGCCGTGTTTAGAGCTGCACCACCCAAGTGTTGACATCCTGTGCACCGTACACCACGGAAGGTCTCTGAAATGTGGCACCAAGCAAAGCTAAGGGCTACTAGAAAAAACTAACAAGGGCACTGAATTCTCAAACCTTGCTCATACGGAGCAACTGGAGAGCATTAAACAGAGAGGATCTGAAAGCATAGGAAGCCTGTGGCTTATGCACAGCCCCCTGGAAGAGGAGAATTTCAGAGCCAGGAAGAGTTTGGGGAACAGCTAGGTCCTCAGGGCCGGGATTCCCGACCAAAATCTCTCCAGGAGCACAATGGCAGCAAGTGTGCAACAGTTTTGTAGCTTTTTGGAACAAGCCTACACATCTCTTCTTCCCTTTGCCTCCATTTCCCTTGAAAACACACCCCCTGTGAAAATAACACTTTTCCATTCACCTTTTCTCTCGACCGCCTCTCCCCAGGGCCGTTATGACCGTTAACGGCCGCGGGCTCCTACCTGCTGCGTGAAGTAGAGGGTGCGGAAGGGGGCGGCGCGGCGGGGCGCGGCCGGGGCGGCGGGCGCGCTCCGGAGAAGGCCCAGCACGAGCAGGAGGAGCGGCACGGGCAGCATGGCCG